ATATCATGCTTCACTTACTCATATCCATATTATTTTCATTTAGGCATTATTAATCATTAATAATCCATGAAAATCCCATCTAATCACTTTAGGCATTCTTATGAAATTAACTCACTAATTATAAGCAATATAGTCAGCCATCCTCACCTCGTGATGTGCTACAATAGTTGCCTTTGTTAAGCCCCTCGATCAATCCCCGTTCTAGGCCGATTGAAAGTGAAAAGCTGGATTTCTGGGCCAAAGCCGGGCGGCTTTCACGAAAGCCGGGCGGCTTTCACGAAAGCCGGGCGGCTTTCGTAGTCTGCAACTACGAACAGCTCCCTATATGTGGCGGTTTCCGGCGATTTCGACTCCTATCGATTCACCAACTCTTCTAAGTTAATTAACACCACTTTATAACAATATTCTACACTTTTAGACGTGTAGAACACATGGTTTAATCCACCATATGATTTCTCAAAAATCATACACAAAAAACTAGTTACAAGATTGTTTGTTGAGTTCTTACCTCAAGAACAACCCTCTTCTCTTTGGATTCTCTTCCTTGCTGCTTGCACTAGGAGAGGAGACTTCCCTGGAGCTTCTCTCTCTGCTTTAGTCGAGTGAATGGTGTCAAATGGAAGGGGGGAGGTATCTATCCTCACCCAAGCCAAAAACAATGAAGAGGTATGGCCAAGGGAGTGGTTGGTTGTCTCCAGCCATCCCTTCATGCACAGCCCATGTTTATTTGACTCACTCAGCTCCCAATGTGTCAATTAGATCACACAAAATCGTGGGGTGGCCCCCACTCATGTGGGAGGTCATCCCATTACGTCCCGGTGTGTATAATCGGCCCCGAAAGTTGTATTTCTCGGACTGCTTTAGTCTTTTTTTATTTTATCGGGCCGGATAAAATATATCACGCGTTCCCAACAATTTTGGGCCTTTAGAATGGATGTACTATCCCCAACATTAATTTAGGAGTCTCCGAAACTCATTTCCGGCTGTTACCCGCTAATTTACCAATACCGGTAATTGAGCCCCGTTTGACCAACCGGTCAACTCTATGCCTTTCTTATGGCCCAAATAAAGTATCCACCACCATATAGGTGTCATCTAGACCAAGATGAATATAACATGTGGTTCGAGAATTATCGGGCGGTCCCCGTTCCCGCGGTGGCCCCCACATGCAATTTACTATTCACGTAAAAGAAATAATAAAAATTTACAATTACGCAAATTCATAAATCATCATTCAAGGTTTATTACATAATTTACTAAAAGTAAATATGCTCGGGGTCGGTGTTACAGTAATAGAATTGTACCAGAACACACGTGTGTGCTACACGTGTGCCATCCAGAATATTCTCTAATTCTAATTGTCGGAGTGACATGGCCTTCGCATAGCGCTAGTGACATGGCTATAGCTTGTGCAATGTTTGATTGCTGAAATGTCTAAGTTCATATTTGGTTATTGAGGCCCCGAGCTTCGCGAGGTCAGAGCTTAGGTGTAGTGAGTTCATTCAAGAGGATTGGATCCTGGTCTTCAGTTTGTCCGGTGGCGACCATTTCTTTATATCTGTTGACTCCCGCTAACTTGTGTCTTGCTCGAGGTCGGATCTGGTACTGACTTCGATGTGCTTGAGGTCGGCCTCGAATTTAGCCTTATCTTGGTGATCTGGGAACCCAGTGTTGGGACGTCTATGGAAGAAGTACTCAAAAAAGGTGGTAATGGAATCGGAAATCGGCGACTTCATCGACCTGGAAGGGTGGATACCGTGGCGCGGCGACTTTGCTCTGGCGACTCTGTATTATGCCGAGTACGGAAACACCGGCATACTCTGTTTTTTTTAATTGCAGTAATTAGCTGTAATTGTTTGAGTTCCAATATTAATTTTCATTTTCAAGCTACCTATACTAGGAGATTCTAGAATGCATATACTTAAATTAAAAAACAATGTCACGACTAACTTTTTCTTTGTAATTTTTATAAATATGTAATCATCCATGTTGATAATCATATACGAAGTACGAAGTATATAGAGGAGTAGTAAAAAGGGAAAGAAGAAGAAGATAGATAAACAATGAAATAATCATCCAAATATTACTTCCTAACTTTCATTAGACAAAAATATGACTAAATTAAGTCTGGAAAAAAGTTACTCAACCATTAAATCTTCCGTTCTTTCTATCTGAGCTCAAAGACCGACTCTTTCTCTTTTTCACAGCACTCAAAAACCATCATCTCCACCGCTCAAGGAAGGATCGACGCTTCAACCTAATCGCCATCGGAGGATCGACTCTTCCTCTGCTACCTTGACCATAACCACCGATGTCTCCCTCCGCGCACAGAAGAGACGCATCGTCTCTGTCGCCCTCATCCTCGCCCCTGCCTTTAATTTGCCTACACGCTTCTACCTTTTCTTTTCTTTCTAACAGGCCATCAGAAGGCGAATCGGAATCCGGCGTCGCTTTCCTTCTATCCGGTCGTGAGAAGGTGAATCGGAGTCCGCCATCGTTGGAGGAGTTGATGTTGCCGCTGGAAGATCTCTTCGATTTGGCGTCGAAGAACTTCTACAGATCTAGCGGCGGCTAGGGTTCATCGATGATGGCGGAGAAACTTTACTCACTTTATTGGAAATTCGTAAATTAATAGTAATATTGGAATAAAGTGGCCAAAAACAATTGTTTGAATTTATAAATCCAATTGAATTTGCTCTTGTGTTGTGTATAAATATATATTGAACATAATTTGTTACTATTTATTTATTGTATATATACTCAAGGCCTATAAACAGCTATACAATGCATTTTATTTATTTTATTGTTGTGTTGCTAAAATAGAAATGCATGTAGTTTCATTATTAGAAATTGCCCTAAATAAGAGTTTTAAACGTCTTGAAATTCCAACATAGGTCTTTCATGTTTTTTATTTCCTAAATATGAGCAATTTCTATCAAATTTGAAAAAATTGTTATGTTTATTAAAAACCAGTAATGTCAAACTTGACAGAAATTACTTCTAGTTATGGAATAAAAACATGACAATTCTATTTTAGAATCTCAAATTTTTACTCCTATTTGTGGAATTTACCATTTCATATCGCATGCTCGATAGATAGGTAGAGTTTACTTTTTACACAAATGGGTCATGGGTTCAGAGTTCATATGTGTGATATCTCATAGACCGACCAAAAACTAGACTTGATGTGCATAAACTAGATTTGATGAGAAACATGCTTAAAAATCTCATCACAAAATTCCACTGAACTCTCCAACGGGGAAGTCCGCACAACGGATCTGGTCCTGTGGGTCTGAACAGGTCTATTCTCCCTAATATTGTACTCCCTCCGTTCCTATTAAAACTTCCAACTTTCCTTTTTCGTCCGTTCCAATTAAAACTTCCACTTTCTATTTTTAGTAAAGAATTTGTGGTTCACAACATTTCTTACACGTTTCTCTCTCATCTGCACAACTCTCCACCATACAATACCCACTATCTTAAATTGTGTGTCAAACCTATTTGGAAGATAAAATAGGAATGGAGGAAGTAGTATATACTATGTATTTTATATATACCATAACACACTCTCCCTCATATACTCTCTCCGTCCCACTGGATTTTGTCAACTTTCCTTTTTTGGGTGTCCCAAAAAACTTTGTCACTTTCCTATTAAAGCAACTAATTTGTGGTTCGGCACATTTCTCTCTCCTCTGCAGAAATCTAAACCACACAGTTTTTACTATTCTTATTTTACACCTACTTTGCACTTGGTAAAGTCCACCGGAACGCACTGCTTGAAATTTCTTTCAACACTAACCGCATGTTGAATAGTAGATAGAGTAATAGACCTTTCATGAAAAAAATCCACTTTTGGTCCCATGACTATTATACCACTTCCACATTTAGTCTCTTACTTTCAGATTGTGCACATTTAGTCCGTGACCATTATCCCCTCACCACCCCTCGTCCTTCCGGCCAAAATTCCGGCAAATTTAATGCAGATTTTAGGTATGAAAGACCAAATTTAATGCAAAGACTGATATGAAAAACCCAACCTGATACAAAATTAAATGCAAAGACTGGTTCTGAGGTTGAGAAGTGGACTAAATTTGCTGGAATTTTGGCCGGAAGGACCGAGGGTGGTGAGGGGATAATGATCACAGGCTAAATGTGAAAAATCTGAAAGTAAGGGACTAAATGTGGAAGTGGTATAATAGTCATGAGACCAAAAGTGGAATTTTTTCGACCTTTTATTGCCTTACTTTTGAATGTCTTACTTTTTTACTTCAGTGATGAATTTTGATGATTTTTTCTTCACAAAAATATTAGTTCAGACTAACTAAAAATTATTTCAAATAAAAATATAATATGAGTACTGTTGAGATTCCTCCTTAATTGGAGAGGTTCTAGAAAATTCTAGAGATTTCTAGAGTAGTATATAATTTTCTAGAACGTTCGAGAGAATTCTAGAGAAGTCTAGAACTCTCTAGATTCTTGTGGAATAGTGTGGAATACTCTGGAATATTCTAGAGATGTGTGGAACCTTTCGAAAGCTTATGGAAGAGTATGGAAGCATGTGGAAGGGAATGGAGATGCGTAAAGACTCCTGGGAGTTCTATAGAATATGTAGATATGTGTAGAGCATTCTAGAGAACTACTCTCCACCATTCTAAGAGTAGGGGTCTTCATTCATAACCATCCTAGCTAAGAAAGAATTCACTTCTTAGAGTGAGAAAGTTAGAGAGCCTCTTTGAGAGAGAAGAGAGATAGTTTGGGAAGTTTCTATCCTCAATCTTGTGTGAGCCACCAGAGATTGAGATAATTTTGTAAACACATTCTTGTAAATCCTACTATTCTTTTGTGTAGTGGAAGAATCTCTGAATTGGAGAATTTAACTCGTCTGCTCCCATTACTACCTTAGTTCCTAAGTGTCCATCTTAACTTCACGAACCAGGAAAGTCCTCAGTTTTCCCCGACAAGTACTATGTAAGTAATGACACTCTAAGCCAAAACAAAAAGTGGACTGTGGCCTAGCGTTTCATCTACAGTTTTGGGGGGCGCGGTGATCTTCGCTCGTCGGCAATTTTGGGTCGCATCCGCGAGGATGGTGTGATCGGATTTCTGCTTTTGTTTGTTTCGTGCTTTCATACATGACACTGGTTCAATTACAATGCTTTGGCTCTGGCTTTCGGTGGTCAGAGATGTGCAAACAAATTCAATCTAGCTTTCTCGAGATGAATGTGGCGGATGTAGCGTCGGTCGCAAGGGTATCGTGTTTGGTCTAAGTCTGGCAGAAGGCTATGGACGAGGTTTAAATATTCGGCCTAGGCGATATGTAGTTACAGCTTTGGACAATTATACGCTTCTGGTGTGTAGGAAAAGGGAGGTCCAAGGCAGAACAAAAGTGTTGCAGAGCAGATGAAGAATAGATATGTCAGATAGGTGGTGGCTGGTCATTGATGGAGGTGCAAGTAATTGGAGGACAAAACAGAGTTGGGACGAGCTCTGGACAATAGGCTCGCACGAAAAACTGAAGACAGATGGTGCAAGTTTTCTGTTCTACTTATTTTGTTTCCAGCTTTCTTTTTCGTTTTAGTTTATGTTATTGTTATACCGATTTTGATTTTATTAGTTAGGACTCTAGAATGATTTTTGTTATGACTATGGTGTCAAGTACTCGTCTGCAGTGGAGGAGCTAGGGGGGGCAAGGGGGGGCAAGCGCCCCCGCTCCGACTAATTTTTTTTACTAGTATTACTTATAATATGTTTCTTGCCCCGACTTCTTTTTTAATTTTAAAAACAATAAGTACAACTTAAGGTTATTTTAAGATGAAGTGTTAAAATAAATAAAAAAGTATTTTCAGAAAAAGTAAAAAAAAATGAAATAGAGAATAAAAGGGGATTAATGTATGTAATACATTTGGCATCCCAATTTGGCAATAATCCGGAGTAGCTCAGTGGAGACAGGTAACACGCTCCCTTCGTATCACCCGTGTTCGAATCCCCCTAGGACGGATTAAGTTAAACTTGTTTTGCTTTTCTTCCGCCCCAATTCTTCCAATTTTATTTTCTTCAGCCTACAACTCGTCCCACACTGGATGAAATAGAGGATTCACTCCTCATTTGAGCCTATATAATCGCTCCTTCATAGTTGATAAAGATTAAGTTGCTAGTAAAGCTTGAGTGCAAGTATTAGCTACAATATAAACAAATATTGAATACCCATTCGGTTTTTGTGTAAACCGAATAACCGGACCGAAAATCCACATGCGAGATATATTCATTGTTTTGCTCACCAATTGCAATTAGTTGTCGTGGCTGTTTCTCAAAAAAATAATTTTATGAGTGATTTCTTTGAATATTTGTCCATGATTACTAACATGGTTGGATCCTCTTGTAAAAGAAAAGATGAATTTCGCCAAAAACAAGGGGCAAAGCTAGTAGTTTGGTTGAAAAAATGGAGAGCTATCAATTTGTTTTTATAGCCCACTTGATGAAGAAGGTATTGGGATTGACGAATATGTTGTCACATTTCTTGCAACAAAAAGATCAGAACATTCTTGAGGCTGTGAGCTTGATTAAAAGCACTAAAGAGAAGTTCCAAGATTTGAGAGAAAGTGGATGGGAAGAGCTATTAGAAGATGTCAGTAAATTTTGTGTGAAGAATAAAATTGACATTCTAAACATGGAAGATACAACTCATCGTTCTAGACGCGTTCGCCATCCGGTAACAAATTATCATCACTTTCGAGCTGATATTTTTTATTAGGTATTTTTTATTAAAATTTAAATTATTTATTAGTTGTTATTATTATTATTATCATTATTATTATTACTATTACTACTACTTTTTATTATTACCTTATTGTAGGTTATAGACCAGGTCAATCTGGAAATGGAGAATCGCTTTAGTGAGTCAAATACAGATTTACTCGTTTGTTTAGCTTGCCTTGATCCTAAAGATAATTTTTCCAATTTCTGTGAGTCAAAACTACTCAGTCTTGCGGAGTTATATTCATCTGATTTTTCAGCTGTTGAGCAAATGGAGCTTAAAGAACAACTCCAAGTTTGGATATATGAGATGAGAGGAAATGAAGCATTTTCCACTTTACAAAGTATTGGTGAAGTGTCTAAGAAGATGGTTGAGCTTACAATTCACAAATCTTTTCACTTGGTCTATCGTCTTATTGAGTTGGCTCTAGTGTTACCAGTTGCAACAGCCACAGTTGAAAGAGCTTTCTCATCGATGAATATTATCAAGACAGATCTTCGCAATAAGATGGGAGATGACTATCTTACGGATTGCTTAGTATGCTACATCGAAAGAGACATTTTTCAAGCAATTGATAATGAAGCTATTATGCAGCATTTTCAAAATATGAAAACTCGTAGGATTGATTTGCCTAGGTTGCAGAAGTAAATCAAGTAGTATGTAATGAACTATAATTTTTTGTTAAATTATTACGCTATTGTTGTTCTTATTATATTTTGGACACGAACTTTAAAATTTTTAGTCTTTGGTTTGCCCCTCCTTGGACAAACCTCTGACTCCGCCACTGCTCGTCTGGTGGGTACTTTGTGGGGCAATCCTTTTCTTTTGATCTCAATAGGTTTCAAGTTGTCCGTTGAGTGGTTAGCGAATTGTTGTACTTGTAGGACATACAGTTCTATGTGTGATACTAGCGCTTATAATCAAATTGTGAGAGTTTGTCCTTTTCATGTTCTCCAAGTTTGTGATGATATAATATAAGTATTCTTTGTTCAAAAAATGATGCTCTAAGTTTAAAAAATTCATCAAAAATCAACATTTTTTTATCTTAAAAATGCACGTCCTATATATACAAATCCGGACTCAACAGTCATTTAATAAATTTTCTTCAAAACGCAGAAGTTTGAGGAACTCATAAAAATACATTGTGAAGTTGTGAAGATCGGAAATACAGACAAAAATCGTTGTTTATACAATTCCTAAACCGGAATGAAGGAAACTCATAAGCCTCCCAATTAAAACCAGATCCTCCTTCCCATACAAAGCCTAAATGTCACCGATCAAGATGATTAGATGACGTGGCTTTTCTCCACGTAATCATCCCAAATGGGAGAATTGTGACAGAAGAAACTCGATGGGTTGGAAGAAAATTGCAATGAATTGACAAGTGAGGATAGATGGTGGTGCTGAGTCAGACATGGATAGGTAAGAGACGAGACTGGTGGGAACATTGGCCATTTAGGAAGGGAATATATATGTTATATGTAGGATATTGGCATATTGCTAGGTTTTTTTTTCCTTCTGATTCTAAGTTATATGTAAATGTTTATTTATTTTTAGAGCACATTCGGTTACCCTATTGTTTGGCTTATTGAACTTATTAATCAATTTTTTCACAAACGCGTAAAAATGACTTGTTATACATCAAATTTGTACATATTACACACACATTATACATTATTATATGTGCACATAGGCAATGTGTACCATCTCCTAGTTGCATGTGTACATAGATAGCTCGTGTAGCATTGTGTGTGCACAGACGATTACGTATAAGGATGTTTTTAATTGTACTATTTTCAGTCTCATACAAGACCTAGTCAAATCATACGAGACTTGGATAGTTATAAAATACACATATGCCAGACATTTACTATACCAAACCAGTTCAGACCATAAAATTTCAGTTCAAGTAAAAATATCTTAATTGTGTGAAATGTGTACAAATTTTAAATATAAGAAGAATTTTGTTATTACAATAATATATTGAACTTCCGTGCAAGGGAGAAAGTCTATCTAAGAATGAAATTGCCACATCATCATTATCTCGTTTTTATTACGAATAAATTCATTTTTTATCCTATGAAAATTATATGTCAATTTATACAAAAATATAAAGGCAAAATTCATAAGAGTAATCCTTACTTTAAAGGATTTTATAATAATAATAATTCATACTGAAAATCTTCATAAAATAATCTGAACTAATAATGGTGTTCACAAAAATAAATTGATGTGAATTCAAACCAATGTCTATTTATTCTCGGAGTGAATTCAAACTAAAACTCATTAATCTCAACGTCATTTTCGTCATATGTGATTACTTCTAGGGTTAGAAGATAGAAGTGTTACCCGAGAAGAAAAGATATTGATTTGAATTCACCCCAATTTATTTTTTTGGAAACTATATGCTAGTTCAAATTATTTTTATGAACACTCTTGTCAAGGATTATTATTGTAAAATACCTAAAAGTAATAATTATTATTGTAAATTTTGCCAAATATTAATTATTTTTATTTTATTTAACAATTAAATTAAATTTGTTCACACAAGGGATTGTGTGCATGATCAGGGGCGGAGTTAGGGGTGCCCAGGCTAGGCCATGGCCCACCCCAAATTTAAAAAATGCCAATATTTCTATTGCAAAAAAAATCGTGTAAATTGTTTTCTAATAATATTCTTTGTATCGGTCTAGTCTGGCCCAGTGCTCTGGCCCCGCCCCTGCGCATGATTAATTAATACACACATATTTGACGCATGTTGGTATATAACAAGGGATGTTCTCAATTTAAAATTCTCAATTACTCCCTCCATCCCGAATTAATTGTCGTGTTTGCTTTTGCACAAGTTTTAAGAAAGTGGTTGAAAAGGTAAAAGTTGTGATTGATATTTGAGTAGAAAAAGGTGAATTGATATGAGCCACCCATTATTGCAAAAAGAGGTAACAAGACAATTATTTTGGGACGGACCGAAAAAGGAAAGCAGGACATTTATTTCGGGATGGTGGGAGTACCTCTTTGTATGTCTTATATTAAGATTACATTTTCTTTTTAAAAAAATGGAGGTGCATGCATGATCGATGATAACTAAGTTATTAATTACTATTTTAAACACATTCATCATGACATTAATATTCATAAACTATTCACCCCGGCCATTACATCTCCACTCACTCACTCACCTTTTTAAATATTTTCTCCCTACGCTATACTTCCTGAATAAGAGGAGCTTTTGAATTAAATGAGGAATTAGGAAGATTCAAACTCTAGCTAGTATCTTATGTTAAAAGTCCATTGCTCAACCGATTATATATATTGGTCTTAATTAGGCCTTTGAAACCCACCAATAAGTTGTCGTACACTTCTAATCTACCTTTATTAGTTATTGGGTTATAGCTAAAGAAATTAAATTACCAACGGATTATTCCAAATGAAGGCAATTATATTAAGCCACGTACATTTCAACAAATTAAATATAGAAATGCACAGAGAATTGGTATAGTATAACAAGTAGATTAAGAAAACTAAACACTACTTTTTAAGTGGTGTGCTTTACGTACCAGCATCCTTGCTTGTTAATTACATGCAAAACATTCGTAACAGTGACATGGCTTGCGAAGTTTAAAATTAAGCAATTTTTTGCCGTTGTAAGCAAACTTACTCTTTTTATTAAGAGAGAAAATTTATTAAGAAGGATAAGGGAGAAAGATGAAGCATAATAAGTGAGTTGAATTGGAAAGAAAATGAATAACGTATCAGAATTGGAAAAATATAATACATCGATAATATAACTATTGTGGGTGACTCAAAAAAGTTTTTGGGCATATCAATTTTGTATTTCATATATACTACTAGTAGACTCATTAATGAGCTGAGGCTCATCAGAATATAATTGCTTCTTGAAGCTTTAATTAGTCATGATCATATGTTTTCCACCTTCATATTTTTTCTATCCTGATTTTTCTCTCATATGACCATAATGTTATTTTTAATTTGAGAAATTTCCCAAAATAGGATTAAAACGGTTTGAAAATTCCAAAATAGGATTGTCGTGTTTTTTATTCCCAAAATAGGAGCAATTACTGCCAAGTTTAAAAAATACTATCATGTTTGAAGTCTGGTACTACCAAACCATGACAGTAATTAGTTCAATTTTGGAAATAAAAACATGACAACCCTTTTTGAAATTTTCAAATCATCTTTAATGGGGTAATATTCTTTTAAATTTCACAAAATATCTGAGCGTGCCAACTATTTGCAGTGTAGGGACTAGGGGCATACAACTTGTTTTATAACTTTCACGAATTAGTGGGATTGTTGTTGATATCACTCATTTCATGTTACGTTGAATCAACATCAACACCAGTTAGCCGTGAGATACGGTACTCGAACTGTTTGTAAAAACTTAAAAAAATTAATACTCCGTATTGTCTTTTTTATTTCAAGGGGGTCCGGGTAAAAAGGGTTGAAACTAATATCATGGACTTACGAATTCGACTTCTCATACGGAAGAGTGAGTCCCCATACTAATACTCCCTCCGTCTCCCTAATATTGGTATGAAAGGGTGTGGTGTAGTTTTTAAGAAAAGTAGAATTATGTGGTTGGTAATGAGTTGATAAAATGGAAATAAAATAATAATGAATTACAGCCACACAAATGTTACCAAATATGATATGAGACAATAATAAAGGACATCCAAAAATGAAAAAATGTGACAATTATAGGGGACGGAAGTAGTATTATATTTTGAAGTGATAACTTTTGCTTAAATTAAGAATTTGATAACTAAAAATGGAAGTAACGAGTGTTTCCAATTGCTTCTCACTTCTTTTATTATATAAAGAAATCCATCAAACATTATTAACTTTTATTTTTTCAAAAACATTTTTTTTCTTAAAAATCATTTGTTTAAACTAGAAGCATTCAATCTAAAAAATCACCTTAATTGGCTGACATGGGTTCCAGGTTAGGAACGGTGCGATTGTGTATGGATTTCGATCTCAGCATGTCTAAGTGTTCGGAACATTTAGTGCATGTTTATTTCGCTGCTAAAGTCACGATTAAGTTAATAAGACATGTGAAGTAAATATGCAGATTGCTTAAAAACCCGCTTACTAACTGAAACAAATGCTTATAAGTGTCGCTTACTAAGCATATCACCCATCATGTATTAATTAAGCGGCTCTTTAAGTTTTTTCGGTTTCCGAATTTACCCTTACATTTACCCTTTGCCCACACCCCTTACTGTTGCTCCTACCCTACCCACCCCTACCCCTAACCTCCTACCTCTACCCACTCTTACCCTATTGTACCTTAACCTGACCCCACCCCTACCCATCCCCCGTCCCCCGTCATGCTCTTTCTTCTAAACCTCCATATCTCATTAAATTATACTCCCTCCCTCCCCGAAAGAATGTCCCTACTTTGACTTCACTCTTACTAAGACAAAGAAAAAAATGAGTTTGACTTTCCAAAAATACCCTCACAAAGGTGAGGGTATTACCCTTAATACCCCACGGTAAAAAAAAAAGGGACGGGGGCGAAATCAAGAGAAGAAAATGAGTGGATATTAAGCATTAAAGTACAATGTCTAATTAGAAAAGATGGTAAGCTATAGGGCTTACCACTTTTCTTCCAAGACAATTTGGATGCCAAAAATTCGAAACTCCCACCAAAATTTAACTTTCAAAAGTTTTTACACTTTCTAATCTACCAATGATCTACAACTATAAATGCACCACATTCATTACAAGTGATTAGCATTCAATACAAACATTCAAATGGATACAAGTCAAGAACTGTTTGTGGCTTCACAGCCACTTCCTTCTCCACTCTCCTTTGACTTCAACGACTTATCCTTGGATGTGGTTGATCTCGGCCCCTTTTCACCTGCAAACAGCTCACAATCAGAAGATGAAGCGGCGCAACCTACAGTTCAAAGGCAGACAAGTATCAGACTAAAAT